TCGTTATTTTTAATTCTTTTACACGTTTTCTGTTCATCTTCATTATTTCTTTTATCAATTATGTTGATACATGTCGTCGCAAGATACTGAATCACCAGATAGTGATAATTCTAGCGGAGAACTTTACGAACCACCGAGAACCGCACGTAATACGCCTATCGGTCGGGCAACAGATTCCGTCGCGAAAACCCAAGGCACTCTTACGCGTTCCGCCGCTCTTTTACTTAAAGCTCGCGAGTATCTCGACGCGAATCGTTCAAAGAAAGGTCCGCCTTCACTGTCGTTAGCGAACGACCTACACACAGAAAACCCTGAACCTACTATATCACTCATAGCTCAAACACCACTGTTTCAATCACCAGCACCGTTTCCACGCAAAATCATGGCAACTGCTAGTAATGATTTACTTAAATACGAAGTCTCAGGACCAAGCAAGGAAAAACAATACATTAGTATCGATCAAGCTTTACGTGTCATACCAATTTTTGATGGCGAAGCATCAGAAGGAAATTTTGGTTTTCAACAAGCATGTCGTTTTGCTCTTAGGATGATACATCCAAGTGATACCGCAGATTTAATGCAAGGTATTTTGACTCGATTAACTGGACGAGCACTACGAATGATTCGATATAAGAAAATTACTCAGTTCAGCGAACTCCAAGAAATATTAGATACTACGATCGAAACAAAATGGTCTGTGTCACATCTTCAAGCTCAACTATCAACGTTAAGACTACAGCTCAACGAAGGAGTGCAGTCGTACGCCGATCGGACAGAAAAACTTATGCATGACTTAGTGGATGCTACGTTGAGCCAAGGCACATATCAATCAATAGCAGACATCGAACAGCTAATACATAATCAAGTCCGGACATCATTCATAGAAGGACTTCCTCAATCGATGCGAATTTTATTAAAATCGTTAGCTCCATCTACACTCCAAATGACTGTGTCATGTGCTTTAGAAGAAGAACTACTTCAACAGTCGTCTAGAGAATCTCAGAAATTAGTTAATAACCGCGGGGCTGCTACATCTCGCTCAACAATGGAAGTGAACCGCTCCGACAGAGGACGCCATAATGGTTTAGTCGATCGACTGTGTTATAAATGTGGTCGACGGAACCATCTCGCCANCGCAGGGCTAGACCCATCGAACGCGATCCTACCCGAACGACCAACGCTTCATTATGGCACACTCGTGACGGAACGCCAGTCTCGGGTAGACGAAGTCACCGCGCTGTGCTGGACCGTCGACCTTCCATCAAACGCGGACCCGACCGATTAACTTGGCGCTAGAGGATTCTGAAGTTGAGTCGCTTACAAGAGTGGTCCTGGGCAACCGGCCGCCCCAATAGTAGTTTGAACGCAGCGTATACAGACGACTTGTATACGGCGCACTCAATATCGGAATCCGTTCACCATCGCACAGATGACGCGAGAGACAGTAGAAATAGATCGTAGTGATTACACGCGTCTGTTCGAACCAAACTGCATAACTTTCGTGGGCCGAGCAACGCGACTCAAAGTAACGCGGCTCTACGACAGCGTCTGACTGAAATCGAAGAACGCAAAGCGCGAAACCTTCAAAGATTAGCCGGTCAGACCACGCGACCGTCACCTTCAGCGAGCGAACACGCACGAGCCGGTTTTTCATTTAGACGCGAGCCCACAACGCACGTGGCATTTCGGCCCGGACACATTCACGCCATCGACACGCCATTTGTCCCCGTCCCATCAAGCCGCTCACACACACACACATGGCGACTGTACCATATAATAACCCACCCAATATCCAATAACAATTATTCTTGCTTATAATATCATTTTGGGAGCCAATATTATGAAGTCCAGAGAAATGTGGGACATATCAACGTGATAGCACAATGATATAAAATAGACAGTTAGGCATTGTAATAGATATTTAGCATTTTACATTTAATTTAATTTATATTTTTATAATGATGATTTTTTTAATAAACCGCATTATTATGGGAANTGATGATTTTTTTAATAAACCGCATTATTATGGGAAATGATAGATATAAAACATGAATGCCCGTATGTAATATTAAATCGAAATAGTAGAATAATATATATTATTTTAATATATATTTTTTTATACAATAAAAGATCAAACTAGCTGGACACAAGGTAGAAATTATATTTCTAAGCATGTTATAAAAAATTGAGGATAGATTTAAAATAAGTCATGAATAATTTTTATCGTGGGAATAATTGAATTGCTTCTCATAGTAGATAATTTTAATGATTATTATTAACAACAGTTTTGTCATCACTCTAATCACAAACAAATGTGTTTAACGTAAATGTTTATCTGTATTTGTCGTTCATATAAAAAAAAATAATTTAGCTTATAAAACTTGGCGCCCAACAATCGAACAGTTGCATTTTACGTAAACACGCATCGTTTCCTATATATGTTACAATCGATAAAAAAATATCAAGAGTCATAAAATCCTCCCCCAAAACAATTGCACATTTCATAGTAGAATTTATAATATTCAGGTTAGTGTCATCCGTGTGTAATTTCCCTTCACTGTACATTTTACGACAAACCATATGTAATTATTTCATTTTAACAAAAAGATCCATGATCATACACCGTATATTTTTATTTTCACCTTGTAACTAAACAATCTAAAATAATTCTCTATTTCAATATTTCATTCATCCCCACTTACTCTCTCCCTATTTTTTTTTCTTTTCTTTTACGACAGCATTGACAAGGGCTATGTGTTCTCTAACAAGAGCAAAGGGCACATCATTAATATAGCGTTCACATAACTAATATTCAAATTTTCTTTTTATTAGAACAATAATCAGCATGTATACAAAAATATTAACTGGGTAAGAAAAACTATCTACTTTAATATACTAAAATTTCACTATCATACATAGAGTTAAAAGTCAATGAAAAGTACCAACAATACAGAATAAAAGAATGAAATGGAAGGAACATGAGCGTGGCAGATCCAACGTATGGGTCAGGGTACTATGGACATTTCACTAACGTCATTGGGTGTTCTCTACATAAATGAAAAATCTACTCAAGCAGATGTTCACCCTAACCGGACCCGAGGACCGATAAGAGAAAATAAAATAAAATAATTTTAAGTAGGATTGACCATAAAAGATAATCAAATTGTTAAAATGTATAGTCATTAACTTATAAAATAATGAACAGACTATATGGTCAGTTAAACAAAATTACTTAAAACATTAAAATATATATATTGTGCAGAGATACAAAGGGATCACATAATAAAATTGTTGAGTCCTTCAAGTTTTCCAAAAGTGGTATTTTTTAATTGTGTCCTTTGAAATAACTCAGTAAAAATTTGTCCATATATATATATTTTATTTATGACACGCACGCGTGTACAGGTACGAAAACTAAAAATAAAATTATACAGGAATAGTGTCGCCGGGGTTTGGTGAGCGGAGTGGGGTGAATGCGTTACGACAGTCAAGTCTCAATATCATAGACGACAGGATATGCAAGAATATTAACACGTGGCGCGTGGAGAGTTACATTTATAAAAACAAACAAACATACAGGTGAAACTAATATAAGCGTGTTAAAAAAGAAAAACATTAATTATTGTTTTATGAGTTTGAAAATACAAAAAAAATATAAATATATTAATATACATGTATACAATATAATATACATGTATATTATTATTAGTGCTGCGTGTAGGAGATTGTGTTGAGTATTAGTAGTATACATTTAATCTCTGTTTCGTACGAGGCAGCCAGACCATAGGACGGCTAGTTGTGCACCGCGATAGAATGCCAATTTACTTTAAGCCTGTTTAAAATCGCTATTATTAAAGCGGGAGAGGGGTCACCTAGGAGGATGACGACTAAACTCACATCCAACGAGTAACGAGAGTAGAAAATAATTAAATAGCAAATAACCACATATATTAAAGGTTCTTCAAAGAGTATCTTAAATTTAAGGGGTAATGGAGGAGGGCCCTTAAAAACTAATGGCCACACGAAGCGGCATAAAACAAAATAGTTTTATTTAAAATTTAAAACAAATAATAAATAACATTAAAAAATAATATAAAACTCTGCTAAATAGATGAAGTTGTTGATAGTAATGAGTGGACTGTATGAGATCTTGTGGTAATGGTGTCGAAAATCTGAGTATCACGAGTCAGAGTGTAAATCCAGGCACAAAATGGCAGATAAAAACAGACGTCGGAAAAGCGACTGCGGCAGTGAAGTTAATCAGGATGTTCATGGCCAATAACTGAAGGCGAGCAAGGATACGAGAACTTTGAGCATGAGGTGCAATAAACAAATAATAAGAATAATGGCGTACAATGACCGATCAATTTTTATTCGAGCGAAGGCGCTTATTACAAAAAGCATGACACATAAAAAAGACTCACTGACTTACGATTCATTGTACATGAATGAAAATTGACTTGGAGGCAATCGATTTGCTGTGGTGAGTGGGTAAGGGGGTGAGTAAAGCAATGACGCTAGAGATCAGCTGTCACACAATATAATATAAGCAATGGTGTTTGTGATAACTGGTCGACTAGATATTTGGTAAAGGCGTTCTCTACCAAACAATCTCTAATTTTGATTTTACTACGAGTGGTTTCTTTTTCGATTATGTCATGTGTTATCTGATTTGTGCATGAATATGACAGACTTCTGTTGGTATTTATTCATTTTCTTCTAACAAGTCTCATTATTATGACCATTGTTCATAGAAAAAATATAAACAATTACGCCTTATTTTTTATCACTTTTGTTCATGATAATACAGTCAGTGATGACATTAAGTTGAATATTAATGAATAATACTAGAATGGTTCGGAGCAAATGAACCAAAACTGCACAGAGTCCACAACAAAATATTAAATGAAATTTAAATAAATCTAAAGTAATAATGTAGGAGGCCATATAATATAGTATAATAAAAGGGACCGAAAACGGTGAAAGGAGAACAAAACCAGTTGATTCTTTAAACTTTTAAAAACATAATTGTATTTTCATAAAGCACATAAAAAATTAATATCAACGCCATAATAAAAATTTCGTAATGTAACATTGCATAATATATGACATAATATAATAAAGATAATGGTTGTGGCCAGTGCCAACGACCAATGGCTACAATAATAATAGTAATAAAATACAATAAATGTTTGCATGTAGGGATTACAGCTTTTTATAATTTTAGAATATTTGAAAAAAACATGAGTTATTGAAAATTTAAACAAAATAATACTTTTATACATATATAATACATCTGTCTAGTATTCTTCATGATATGATTTGAAGAATTCTGGATCCTTATTTTTATTTCCTGAAATGGATAGTAATGTGTCACTAGTTTTCTTCTCATCAAGTTTACCATATTCTGTATTATTAATAAGTGCCCTGCACTTTAATACTTTTAACATTACATCACATATGTCGCCTAAAAAATAAAAAATAAAAAAAAAACAAATAGATTTTTTACAATAATTTGTTTAATATCCAAAACTAAATACTACTAAAAATATTTTTTAGTTTTAAATTAACGTTTTTAATATGATTTTAGTTTTGGACAATATTAGTCACAAGTGATAAATTTTTATTATATAATTCGTTTTTAATATAATTAAATTATATATATAATAAATTATTATATAACTACTTCTTAAATGAGGAACTTTTATCAAATCATACATCACAGATTTTTCAAAGATATCACAGAACTTTTCTTTCTAAAATATGCAAAATAGTTTATTGAAATAACCTTATTAAATATCTTCATATTTGAAGTTTTTAATTTTAATAGGCACTGCAAAATATTTTTCAATTGTATTTAAATATATTAACTACAAAATTTAAACTCTATTGGACTTTATTATCACGTGACGCTTTAAACTCAAAGTTCATTATTAAATCAAATTTATTTTGTCTTGTATTAGTTAAAATTTTTACAGAATTATTTTTATTGTATTTTTAATATACTAAAAATGAGTCTCTTAGTACTTCTTTCTTTTTTGATGCTATTAACATTTTATACTGATGGTTGTAAGTGAGACACGGGAGTTGGTAGTTTTATTACTAGTAATATCCAATCTTATATATCTTTACTAGTAGTTTTCAACTAACTAGTAAACTTCCATCGATTTTTGGTTTATTACAAGTCTTAATGAAAGTACAACTCTTTATATTTGATAAAAGCTTTTTGAACTTTAAAAGTTATTTCTAAAATCTACCCTTAGGAATAATTTCTTCTTACAATAAACTTGATAGTTCATGGTTTTATGACATAAATTTAATTTAATACATTAGTAATAAATGTATACATTTTTATAAAAAAATCATTATATAACGAAAAATTGGGAGTTGTATGAGTAATAAATCATACTGTATAAAATAAATTTTATGATGTCTTAAATTATTTTTTAAATAATTAGAATAAAGTTAGTTATAATGTTAATCCAGTAAAGTTGACGTAACTTTAGTTTTATGAAAGTGAGGGTTAATAAAAATTATTCCCTGTGGATAAGGGATAAGATACTTCCACGATCCCTTTGCCAGACGTAAGAAGCGACTAATGAGGTGGCGTCTAGTCGACAGCTGGCGTAAATTTTTTTTCAAAAAGTATGAGGATCCCTAAACAAAACTTATTCCGAGATAGGGCGGATTTCCCCATCTCGGATGTACGCGGGGACAACAAGTGAGAGGAAATAAAGTAGTTAGAAACGGAGAAGGCTAAAGGAATAAAGTGTTTGATACCAGCCGGACAACTTGTACGGTAGCTGTATCACCAATTATGTGTAATGGTCTATCCAACGCTTGTAGTGTCAACGATGTAGGAACATCACAGCTTAACTCTTGACTGAACTCGTGTGAAAGGGAGAAAGATATATATAAAATAAGAATAGGTACTTGGAATGTTGGAACAATAACTGGTAGAAGTCACAATATTTTTAACACGCTTATATTAGTTCACATGTATGTTTGCTTGTTGTAAGTTTGTAACTCCACGCGGAACGTGTTATTATGTCGTGTATCCCGACGTGTATGACCTTGAGACTAGACTGTCGTAACGCATTCACCCCACCCCACTTACCACTCAACAACAACAATATTTTCCTGTATATTTTTATTTTTGCTTTTCGTACCCGTATACGCGTGTGTATCATCAATTATACAAGATGAAGGATAAGACACTCGTTTACTCAGTAACTATTGAAATTTTTAAATTTTTATTAAGGAAAATATTGTTTGATTCAAAAAACACTACTATAATATGTAGTAAAAACATGATATTTTTCATCCCTTCAAAGTTAAAAATCATTAACTTGAGTTTTTTTAAATGAGAATACTTATTTTGAATTTAATAAAATGTTTGAGTTTTTAATTCAATAGTAAATGGCATTTGAATTTTTAATGAAACTTAATTTGTTTATTAGATATAAACATTTAAAGTTTCAAATTTTTGAGTTAATATATAGGTATAATACACAAGGGATTACAAATACAGGTAGCTAATTAGTTTTTTATGATATTGTTATCACAGTCACGGATTGTTTATTATCAATTATGACTATCAATAGATATACTTTCTGTATTGTTAGTTAGTGTATTCATAAACTTACAATAATGTGCCTTACTACCATTGATAATAACAATGCTGTGTACCTGCTAATATCGACGCTTTTATCACAAAATACTAGTATTTTTCATACATTATTGTTTTAAGCTTATTATAAAAATTATTTATAACTTTTTAGTTCGATGTGCTTTAAAAGCGTGTTTTTTTAAACTATATTTATTTAGTTATAATTTGTGTGACGATATTTCTATAATTTTATTAATTATTTTTCAAAATCAATCTGAGCTTTATTAATTTGTGTAGATAGAAAAAAATCTTGGTTAATGAATCTCATATGAAAATAACTATGAAAATTTGTAATTACGATTTCAATAAAATAATGATTGAAAGAAAAATTTGTGAATTCTTCTTTTTCTAAATGGCCATTTTTGTTTATGTCAATTGTATAGAACTCAGTTGAGATTTTTTTAACCTCTTCAATATTTAGTTTTTCCACCTAAAAAAAGCAAAATAATTTATTAATAATTCAGGTAAAAATGATATTTGATTTTACTTTTTTGTTATCACCCCACTTTTCAACACCAACCAAAAAATTCATAATCTTTATGAGTCTTACGCCTGGCGTATCTATAAAGTATTGATCCATTTAATACACAGCAATTAAAATTGTTCGTAACAAAATTTTTTAAATTCATTAAAAAATGTACAAATAAACATTTATAGAATAATTTTTGAACTCGTTGAATTTGAAACAAAATTTTATTTTTTAGTATTATTTCAGTAACATATGCTAAATTCAGTTATAAAATGTAATATTTATACACTTTTAGCTTCGATGCAAAGCTCAGAAGGTATTGGTTTTACTATGATGTGTTTTTTTTTTTTTGTGTCTGTTACCACTTTATCTCAGATCTCACCGGACCGATTTCTTTCGATGATACGTCAAAATATCACAAATCGTATCTAGTCGAAGATATTACCCTCAAAAAAAAATAAACAATAATATATAAAAAATTAAAAAAAAAAAATCGGTAGCATAGTGGGGCGCAGCTCAGTGTGGATGTGGCATAAATGGTACTGTTGGGTAGAGTGTGGCACGCGTGTATGACCGGTTCGAACGTGTTAATGATTCGTCCGGTCATCGTTACTTCCTCAGCGAGCGACACATCCTCTTTGGTACGTAAACAGTACACTTGTCTCGCGCATCTAATACTCGGCATCCGTACAATTAGTAACTGCTCGCCTTGTAGGCTTTACTGATTTTGTTCAATTAGTTTCCAGTCAATAGTTTTGCCATAGTTTCAACTTTCCTCCAACCAACACCAGATAAGTTATTGATGTATTAATTTATTATTATTTTGTATTTGTTTTATATTATAATATTAAGATTGTTTCGTATGTAAGTTACCCCCCCCCCTTTCCCTTTACTTTTAAGAATTTCATTTGTAGATCTATAATATATAATTCATAATTTATAATATCATAATTAGGTGTACCTATTTATTACCCCCTCTTATTTCCGCATTTTGATTTCAACAAAATAAACAACCCCACCTGCACAGTAATAGGCCATTCCCCTTTATTATTAAGGGGCTGCTTGTTACAGGTACGTATAGATGTATATCTGACAGTGATTGAAAACACTTGCATAAGAAACGCTTCGGAATCAATGTGTAGATTTATTATTTAATTTTTCGTGCTAATATCAAATCTGCAATTGGATTTTTACTATTACCACTAACTTTCGACATTATAACTAATAGTTAAATACTATAGGATATAATTATAAGGAATATATTTCTGAATATTACACTTGTATCATTTATTTAAACACCACGAGTCATATAGAAATGATTTATTACGGTATATAAATACAAAAATTATAATAAGTAATAAATACTTATTAAAATTATCTAAATAAATTCTTTTCATCTCCTTTACTATATCCGGCCTATTGTACAGGTCACATAACTCCTCATTGTGTCTTTTACGCTATTCCCCTGTTTGCGGGACAAGACAGGGTCCATAAGTCCTTCTTAATATTTTTCTTTCAAAAACTCTCAGTTTTGACTCGTCACTTTTCCTTATAGTCCAACATTACGCTCCACATAGTACTATAGATTTGATTAGCGTGATGTATAGCTGGAATTTTAGTTTCTTTGAGAATGTTCTTGACTTAAGTAAGTTGTCCAATGCATAATAACACTTGTTGCCCTTTTGAATTCTTTTAAGTATCTCATACTCCATATTATTTGATTGGATGATTATTGTACCCAAATATTTAAATTCTGATACTTTTTTAAAGGCCCTATCTTTAAAAATTCTTCTGCTTGTCTTCCATCCCGTCGTCTTCTTACTTCCATATATTCTGTTTTCTCCTCATGAATTTGCAAGCCCACTCTTTTTGCCGCCCTTATAAGTCTTTCGGGTTACTTTTCACTGTATTTATGTTATTCCCTAAAAGCACTGATATAGTCTGTGCTTTGTTTCGTTAATACATTTTAGGATTTCGCCTTGAATGCCATCTTTGTCAGGTGATTTATGATTTTTAATCTTTTAATTTGTGACATAATTTCTTGTACCATAGGCATTTCACATCTGCAATTATTAGGTTTTTCTTGTATACAGTCAAAGGTTTCTTCAGAGTCTTCTCCATTAAGTATATAAATTTACTATTAATAGTAGTTATACATGTTCCTGTTCACATATCAATCTAAATTAAACCATTTTTTAAATCTCTATAAAATTTTCTATTTAATGATATAAATATCAAACTTTCTAGATAAACTAAAATAAACATTAAAAGTTCAATATTTTCAAATTATAAACTTTCATAAAAATCAACTTAAAATAGGTTAAACATGACATTTTTACATATAAAAAATCAAAATAAAATTTTTTAAATGTAAATACTCGTTTTTATAAACTTGAAATAATCTCAATAAAGACGAAAAAAATCAATTACATATTTGAAATGAGCGCAAAAATTTGTTTTAGCGAAGTATATTTTGTTCTATGATGATTAAAAAATATTTAATTTTAGTAATATGATTTTCTGTGAAATTCACTATAAAAACAAATTTAATACTCTTATTACTTGTACATTTTCTATAGTAAATGTTTATCTAAATTTCTTAAATTAAGGGATTTTTTTCAATATTTAATCATTATTAGTTTAGCTGTAAGAACAGTTATAGAAATGAATGTTGAAGGACGAAGAGGTAAAGGAAGACCAAAAATGAGATGGAGGGATGCTATTATTGAATGTGGTTTGAGGACAGCTGATGTGAGTGTAAATGATGTTAGAGATCATGTCAAGTGGAAGTTTAGGATAAGGGTGGCCGACCCCAAGTAGTTGGGATTAAGGCAAGGAAGAAGAAGAAGAACATTTGATCATTATTAATTTAAATAGATTAAAATTAGTTCATTTGATGTATTGATCTTCAAAATTGGTCCAGTGAGAGCTGAGAATTTTTATGGACAGAAATAAAAAAAAAAGACGCGCAGTATTACAAGACTAATAACTTCTAAGATTCACATCGAAACTAAAATATAAACCATTAAAAAGTTGTTAATAAAATCTACTCAATATAGCGTATTATAAAAAATTAATTATAATTGTAAAAATCCATTGAATTTATGTGAAATCAAAAATAGTTTTTTTATAAATGATATATACAATAATATGTTATTACAAATATTGGGACTATTATAGTGGAACACACGAATAGAGTTAAAAAATGAGTAAATTATAAAGTAAGATTATTCAACTTAGTAGTTGAAACTTTTCATATCAAATCTAATTTATTTATTTATACATTAAAAATGAACGATTTTAATTGTTTGTATGGAGTAAATTGATAAGCAACTTTTTATTTGATAAACGGAGTGATAGCTGAGAAAAATTAATGACAGCCACAAAAAAAAAAAAGCACATAGTAAAATAAATTTTACATAAATAAGAAATTCCTTTTCACGAGAGTAGACAATTGTCTACTCTCTTGATATCCTTTAAAGTTATTCGATTTAAATGAGATAAAAATCTAACCAATTTTGAATTTTTTTCCACCTCAAAATTAATTAAAAAAATAATCCAAAAAGAGTCCTTCGTCGGATGGGTTTGTACCTCGTACCCTGAACGTGATATACTGAAGTGTAACGTACTCGAAAACCGTACAAAACACATGCTGATAGATAAAAAGAATAATTTAAACTAGTATTAAAATTTAAAATCGTTTCGCTTAACTTAGGAGGCAAAATATTCAAAATAAGTTTAAATTTGTATTCAATTTAAGTTAGATTCATATAACTTTTATAAAAAATTAGTAGCCTCATTACTATGGCAAACCCTTGTAAGGTATTTTCATATAAAAAAGTTATACAAATACAAAATCAAAAATATAGAATCGTGAAATTTATTACGGTAGCTTTTTTACCATAAAGGCAATCTAAAATTAAAAATTTCTTTTTTCATATTAAAGTATATTATATAAGTTTAAATTTTAGATATGTTTATTATTATATTATATTATTATATTTTAATAATATATTAGTCATATTTAATGTATTAATTTTAATTTTAGACGGGCGAACCTAGGCCGTAAAAAATGACTTTTTTTGTATTTTATTTCGTAATTCTATTTGAGTTGGAAAAAAAATAAAAAATAAATTAAATTTTAGATATTATCCTCAAAAATTAAAAAAAAATTTCACTTTGTCAATTAAAAAGTTACATGTCCCAAATTTTTATATAAATTTTTAAAAAATTTTTTATTACTAATGTTTTTAAAGATTTTATTGTTGAATTAGGTTTGATATGAAACATTTGACAATGATCGCATTTTTTTAAATTAATAAGTGGTGTAGCCGTGTCACTATGATTTCCATTTAAGTTATTTTTTATGAAAAAATTAGTAGTATGGTCTAGTTGGGTTGAGTTTAAAAACGCTAAAAATATTGATTCAAGATAATTAGTATTAAAAACACTCAACTATAAAAAACTATAATAAATATATTGTTATAGTATTTAAAATTGAGTATTTTTTTAATTTTTAGTTTAAATAAATTTTAAAGTAAGGAAAGTATTTTAATTGACGAATATATAAGAAAAATCTTGACAAAAATACTGAATCTTAAAATTATACAAATTTTAAATTACCTTCAAGGCTATAATCATTGTAATTCTCTTCGATACCACTACATAATAAAGCACGATTTATCGTTTCAATATCGTCATATTCCCATATCAATTTTTGAAAAAAATTTATTTGATGAGCAGTAAGTCCTATGCTCTTTAAATATTTATATATATATTATTTATTAAAAATATAAATTAATAAATGAATAAATACTTACCATTGTTCCGATAAAAAAACATACTGAAAAAAACATTAAAAAAGTTTTTAAATGCATTGCAATGATGTTTCTACTTAAGAAAATTGAAATTAAAAAAAATTATTTAAATAATAATTTTACGTACGTTGTTTTGCAATTTATACTGAAATAGTTCAAATATTAATTATTTATTGTAAAATAATGTTTTTAGTAAAAAATAATAAATATATAATTATAATATATATAATTATAAATATATAATAATATATAAATAAATAATTTTAGTAAAAAATATATATATGACATTATTACAGTTAGAATTCATAATTTACGCACATCAAATTGTTTTTACAATGATATCATCTAGTATTTAAATTTACCATCCAAAACTCAAAAAGTACATTAAAAAACAAATACAATTTTATGTTATTAAAATTTACAAAATTGTATTTCTTTCTATAGTAAAGAAAAAGCTGACTAAAAAAAATATTCATATGCTATCATTAGATGACTTTTGTCACCATTGTAATACTTAAAAACATAATCAATTTCTAGGAAAAAAAACTTATTAACAATGTTGCCAAAAAAAATATAACACTTCAGTGTAGTATTCTGACTTTCTTTTATTTCTAAATCCTATTAACTGTTCATTATAAAGTGCCGCACTGTATTATCTTTTATTTTCTATTTTATTATGTCTACATGTTATTCCTTAATTTTGAGATATATTTTATTTTAATTTTTGGCGAAGTGGACTTTTAATTATATAAAGAGTGGATTGTATTATTGTTTAACTTATTCGTGTTTTGGACTTAAGGTTAAACTTATGTAGGTTTAAAAGTCATACATTCATTACGCTCTAATAGATGATTAGTTATAATTTATGACTTTGTGTTGTTTATATATGTACATATATATATATATATTTTTAAAAGACTATTATTAAAGTATTAATTGTAACAAAATCAGTTTCGTTTATTCAACTAACGAACAATCGTTATTAATGAATATAGCATGACTGAGTTGTCTGTTCAAATTAAGTTATTGTTTTTAATACGTGTACCTTTAAACTGGCTAAATCTCTAGGGTTGCTACATTAGATTTAATTTATTATTGGTTTGTTATTAACTTTGAAATAAAATTATATAATTTTTTTTAAGGTAAATTTCATTTTTTGTAGTACTTAAAGAAAATTTTAAGAGTATGGACAGGATTATAAATAACTATTATAGAAACTAATATTGTTCTGGTTATTATAGGAACTCACACGTTTATATCTATCTGAAATTAATTTTTACTAAAATTAAATTTTCATCTAATTCCTTCTAACAATAAATTAAATATATTATAAGTGTAAAAGTTTATTCTCACTACTATAGACGGAGGATTGGTAAAATTTTTTTTATGTGGCTAATTCTAATTTTTCTTTCTACAAAAAAATAATTTCTATGCATAAAATTTCGTTGGATTTCTGGGAAGGATAATAGAAAACTTGGAAGTCTTAGCCCCCAAGCCCTCCTCTAGCTCTGCCTATGCTCACTATCCGTTTGTCACCATGTTTATTTCTATAAGCGCTAATATCTCAAAAAATAAAACTTCAAAAATAGTTATATATTTGTTCATCTATTTACGAAACTTTAGAATGCGTCAATGGTTGTTGTTGAAGCAAAATAATCGTAAATTATATTAACAAAATAAGTCTTTTTAAGTTAAATGATAAACAAGTGATACAATTTTCAATTACACATATTTCATCTTACCAATAATTATTTTGATTAATATAATAATTCATGATATACGTTCAAATATTTTTCAATTTTTAAAGTTATTTTTAACTTTGTAGTGGGGCTTAGTATTGATACTGGTTAGTCTTTACAAATAGTACTATCGGAGACAATATAAAATTTTCCATTTTCCATTACCAAAGTATAGTTTGAAACAAAAAAATGCGAGAACTTAAATTACTTTAAGCCCCATTCTAAAATAATTTTTATACTATATTACTTATAATTTTTCTGAATTTTAGAAAAGGCTAATTTAATTTTTGTAGAACCTCCTACAACGTGCATGATCATCATATTATTTACCATTGAACCCTCGTTGCAACAATTAAGATAAAAATAAATTTAAATGAATCATTGATAGATTAAATGAATTAACTGGGTATGGTGTGGCGAAGTGGATCAATCAGTCACAATTTTAGCGCTAATGTTCAGCTAAACTGTTTACTGTTAGTTACTCGATGGGTGACCATACGGGAACTTTAACTGTGAATCACACATAGCCCCTTTACTGGATCCCTCAGCCATAATAAGGTTGTGTCAGATTGACAGCTGGTGTAAAATACCTGTTAAATCATAAGGTAGAGGCGATCTTATATAGTTGGAATAAAGACTAAGGAGATGATAAATTTAACTAATTATAGTACATTCAACCATAAATTGTAATATTTAACAATAATGCTTCACTTCATAAAAACATATTTACAATATTATTACTTTTTAGTTGTTTTATCATTTTTTGCAAGGATGTCATAGATATGCCCCACTTAGGAGGAGACACCGTAACGTGTTGGCGTGGGTTGTAGGCTGTAATATTCATTAAATTATTAGAGTTATTATTAAATAAAATATAAATGAACAGTGCTATAGTAATTATTAACAATTATATATGTATGTCACACTTATGCAACAATAGTTCAAACACTATTTAAATTGCTTACTAATCTATTAGTTGTCCACTTACTGACACTTACTAGATGTAAACTAACACAACTTGTCGCGCGCCTAAATTATGTGGAAAAAAATGCATTTTCCAGATAAGCTATACGGTTACAGTGAAAAGTACGAATTTTAAATGTTGAATCCGCTATTTTGATATGCGACATGCACATATTTAGATAAAATCCATACGTAAAATGTTAATTTTACCTAATTTGTAAAAAAAACAGATTTGTTCGAAACATTGTGTGTCAGATGGCTGTATTGATGATTATATATTTTTGTACTATAGCACTCGGGATTAATACAGCAGATGGCTCAATGCGACGATGTCGCCGTCAATTACATCGAACGTTAACCCTTCATTAGGTAGTTCGGGTCTATCAGACCTAAATATATTCTTTTTTTGTTTCGTAATTGTTAAAATATATTTCTAAGTATGTCTATGTAATTGTTATTCACATTTGAAGAAATAAAGTTTTACCATACAAGAGTAAAATCGATTTAATTATATGGGTCTATCAACTAATATAACAGTTTTTCACCTACCTAATGAAGTGTTAATATACGAGTTATAAGCTTGACCGATATTTGTATAGTGAATAATAATTTTTTAGCTTCGATGCGAAGCTGAGAAGGTATTGGTTTTACTAAGATGTATTTATTTTTTTTTTTTTGTGTCTGTTACCACTTTTTCTCAGCTCTCACCGAACCGATTTCTTTCAATGATACGTCAAAAGATCACAAATTGTATCTAGTCGAAGACATTACCCTCAAAAATTGAAAAAAATTCCCTCGTTCCCCGTAAATAGGGGAAACCTCCAAAAAAATTACGAATTTAAAAATCGCTAATTTACGAAATTTTTTTAATTTTTTTTTTTTAAGTGCCATAACTTTTTCAAAAATAAACATATCAATATCATTCTTTTTTATATAGATGCATAATATCATTACCTTTCATTTCGTATATTTTTTTTATAAATTTAATCCTTAACCTGTCCACAAGAGGGAATTTAAAATGACAACTTTTTCACAAAAAATTAACTTTTGAAAATGTTCCGGAAAGTCTGACACTTATATATATCTTAAAATAAAGCTAATGTAATGTTCTTTATTATGCGAAAAAAAATTTCGGACTTTATTGTATCTTCATGGTGAAAATGGCTACCGACTGCAATTTTTGTGTGAAAATTTTCGATTTTGTATTTTACATTTTTAACTTTATTATGCTATAACTTTTTGAAAAATGTATGGATCAGTACAATTTTTTCATGAGGAGTAGTATTTATATACATATTTCATTTGACATACTGTTTTTTTAAATCGGACCATTTCCCTATACAGGGTGATTTTTTTATCATAACCAACTCAATTACTTACAGAATAATAATAATTAAAAATTTTTTTTTTATTATTATGNATAAACAATCCGTGACTGTGATAGCAATATCATAAAAAACCAATTAGCTACCTGTATTTGTAATCCCTTGTGTATTATACCTATATATTAACTCAAAAATTTGAAACTTTAAATGTTTATATCTAATAAACAAATTAAGTTTCATTAAAAATTCAAATGCCATTTACTAATGAATTAAAAACTCAAACATTTTATTAAATTAAAAATACGTGTTACCATTTAAAAAAACAAAGTTGACATCCTTACCAGGCATAAGGTATGAACTTAAAAAGTATTACATAGTTAATAATTCAAGAATAATTTTTAACTAAAGATAGTCATAAAAAAAAATTTTTAAATTGTTATTATTCTGTAAGTAATTGAGTTGGTTATGATAAAAAAATCACCCTGTATACGAGGGGGGTTCAAATCTAAAAAATGCATGTAGAAAGTAGAACTTTTTCAACTTAAATTTTGAAAGTGTTCCGGAAAGTCTGACACTTTTATATATATCTTAAATTAAAGCTAATGTAATTTACTTTATCATAAAAAAAGAAAATTTCGGACTTTATTTTATCTTCACGGTGAAAATGGCTACCAAATGCTATTATTGTGTGAAAATTCTCGATTTTATTTTTTACATTTTTAACTTTATAATGCTATGACATATTGAAAAGTGTATGGATCAACATTATTTTTTTATGAGAAATAATCCCTTTTTCATTCGACATACTTTATCTTAATTAGGATATTAATAATGAACTAGCAGATCATGTAGCTTTTGGAATAATCCACCAATTTTTTAAAATTAAACACTATCTAAAAATTTGCATCGAAGCGTTTTTTTTTTATAGTGATTTTAATCACTGTCAGATATTATTATACTTGATCCATCTATACCACGTAACCACTGTGCCGCGACCTCCCTGTGCTGGGTTTTTTTAATTATTAGTAATTGATTGAGCTATGATAAAAAAATAATCCTGTATATAGTCAACAGGGGACCAAGCCCTGTAACCCCTTTTAATTCGCAACTGC